GGTGGAGCCTATGGACCTCATCTCAGAAGAACTGCTTTAAATGCACAAAACAAAATACACAGGATTGCAAAGGAGACACATATCAAAATCCTGTTTTCAACATATTTTAAAATAATGTACAGTATATTAATATATGTGCTTCTGCCTAGCAGCAGGTCTAATAACTATCATAATTGTTAAATAGTAATGAGCATAACTGGCATTTCAAGATATCCTCAGCACATGTGATATGAAAATATCCATTAATATAATTGGTTTTGGTACTTCTAATAACACTGTAGTTGTCTAGCAACCGTTCCAATTAAAGGAAATGCTAAATGTCAGTTAGAAATTAGATTAAATGAATTTTTTTCATCAAAATGTATAGGCCCCAAGTAAAAATGTCAGGTTTCTAGTACCATGAGACCAGGAGCTCATTAACTGATTCCATTTAGACCATGAGCTGTTGGACCAATGGCAAACAGACTTGTTTTGTTTGACCACAGAATTTTAAAAACAAATCAAATTAATTACCAACCAAATGTGGTTTCCCATAAAAACATGATTCTGGCCTCTTAGAGAAAAAAATAAATAAAATATGAGGACTAAGCAACACTAGCCCAGCAGCCGCACAAGGCAATGTCCTACCAGACTGAATAGCAGCTGCCTCTTCCACAGATGAAATGAACACTCCAGTTTCACAGTAACTATAAATCCTGCCTTACTTTTTCATGCTATCTGCCTACTTTGTGTAGCTACTTCTTATTAATATTTAAGGTATTTTCTGCCTCATAACCCTCTAAATAGGCAGCAAGTAGAAGATATTTGCTTTCTAATAAAGGTGTGGAGATTCTATTTATATGCCCACTGTTGTCCCCATTTAACTTCTTTCAGTCCTTTTCTTCCTTCCTTCCCTCCTTTTCTTCCTTCCCTTCCTCCATCCCTCCCTCCTTCCTTCCTTTCCTCCTTCCTCCCTCCCTCCTTCCTTCCTCCCTCCCTCCTTCCTTCCTTCCCTTCCTCCCTTCCTCCCTCCCTCCTTCCTTCCTTTCCTTCCTCCCTTCCTCCCTCCCTCCTTCCTTCCTTTCCTTTCTTTCTTTTTCTTTTCTTCCCTTTCTTTCTCTCTCTCTCTCTTTCTTTCTTTCTTTCAGCTGGAGTACAGTAGCAAGATCTCAACTCATGGCAACCTCCACCTCCCTGGTTCAAGCGATTCCCCCTGCCTCAGCCTCCCAAGTAGCTAGGATTACAGGCACATGCCCCCATGCCTGGCTAATTTTCTGTATTTTAGTAAAGACAGGCTTTCACCATGTTGGTCAGGATGATCTTGATCTTTTCACCTTGTGATCCACCCACCTCAGTATCCCAAAGTGCTGGGATAACAGGCTTGAGCCACCGTGCCTGGCCCAGTCCTCTTTTTTCAACAATTAACACACTTAAGGCCCCTGGGCAGTCACCTGATTTGTAAATAAAGTAACTGAAACACAGTCATGCTCATTTCTTCATGTATTATCTACAGCTGTTGCTACTGACTAAGTTTTACCCCCTCAAAATTCATCTGTTAAAGCTCTTACCCACAATGTGATGGTTTTGGAAGATGGAGCCTTTGGGAGGTAATTAGGTTTAGAAGAGGTCATAAAGTTGAAGCTCTCATGAGGGGTTTGGTGCCCTTATAAGACACCAATGAGCTTACTTCCTCCCTGCCCGTCTCTCTGCCTCCCCTTCTTCTCTCTCTCATGTGGGAACACAGTGAGAAGCTGGACATTTGCAAGCCAAGAGGAGAACCCCGACCAGGGAACCCAACTGGCCAGTAACTTGATCATACTCTTCCCAGGCTCCAGAACTGTGAGGAACCAATTCCTGCTGCTGAAGATACACCACAATCTATGGTATTTTGTTATGGCAGCCCAAGCTAACAAAGATAGCTCCTTTCATACTGCAGTGGAAAAGGTGAGTATTTGAGATTGGCCCACAAATTCAAAATTATTTACTATCTGGTCCTTGACAGAAAAAGTTTGCCAGCCCATGCTGTAGTTGTTTGATGGAATTACTAGTTATAGCTCTAGAATTTTTACACAGAGGGGCTTAAGGGTGGGTAGGAGAAGTTATATTTGCACGGTAAGCATCTTATTTTTCCTTAATGGCGATGAAGACAAATAGCTAAAGAAGGCTCACTTTCCTACTTATTACAGCCACGGAAAGCCACACACTATACAAACCTCTCCACCTAGCCACTGGATATACCTGTGTGGCTGGAACTGTACCGTACCATGGCTGCCAACTTGGATTCAAAATCTGCTCCCTTATTTACCAGGAACACATCCTTAATCAACGGCTATGATAGCTATGAGATATCAGTAGCATACTAAAGACGTAGTTTTGGTTACAGAATTCACAACAAATGTTCATTGCAATAATTTTTACAATAATAGCAATAAGAATAAAATGTTTTCATTAATAGATCAATTGAAATAAAGTGAATAAGTGAATGAGAAACCAATATAACTGTTGACCACGTGTCTGTGGAATATTGTAGAAAATAAAATGTTGGCGACTTTGACAAGCTAAAACAACATGGTATTCTAAAAAATGCAGGCTTTAGAATCATGGAGATAAATTCAAATGCAGGCCCTTACTCATAAGTTATTGGACAACTAGCTGTTCTAATCTTAGAACCTTAACCTCCTCATGGGTGAAATAGAGATTATACTGCTCTGTTTGTGGGTTGTTGACATTTAATAAGATATATATGTAAACTGTGTTGAAGTGCCTGGCTATATACAATAGGCTCTCAAATGGTAACTAGTATTACTAATCATTAGATCGTATTTTCTCACCATTTATCTTTTTCATGAGAATATTGTTTTTCTGAAAATAAAGTGACACTCAATGACACCCTTTCCCCACTATCTGTCAAGTTACTGAGACAATGCATCAAGAGCAGAAAGGCTAGAATTATAAAAACTGACACCAGTTATAAGAGGAAACAGGTTGGGAAGGGAAGAAGTTGCTTGATATTACTCAGCAAACTGGCACCTGTGGAGACAGGGACAGCGTTTCTGGGTCCCGTTAGGAAAACCAACAACAGTTTTCTGTCTCTAGATTCTCTTCCTAACAGATGTAGCTATACCAGTGTGCACTCAGCTGTCACAACCAATGAGTGTGTGTATGTGTGTGTGTGTGTGTGTGTGTGTGTATAAGGGAACAAGAGGTGACAGAGATTTTCTGCTGGTGATCGGTTTTAATTGTCCATCTTTGGCACCTTGCATTGCAAATATATCAGTTGGTTATTTGATATTAATCCCCCTGGGCCAGAGTTTCCTCATGTGCTTTGAAGGAAAAATAACTGCCCATTTTATTTCACAGGAATATTTTAAATTTCAAGTTCTGAGGAATGTACAGATGTTGGATAGGAAGTTTCAGTCATCTTGCAGTATGGGGGAAGATTTTAAAACTGCAAATTTTAGATTGGAGGGAACTTAGAAATATAGTCTTCCCTTGATACATCAGGTGGATTGGTTCCAGGTTCTCTCTCACACATCCAAATCCTCACATACTGAGGATACATACACATACAGGAAAAGTCAGCTCTTGGTATACATGTTTCAAATCATGCAAATACTGTATTTTTCATCCGCATTTAGTTGAAAAAATTGGTATGTAAGTGGAGCCTCGTGGTTCAAACCTGTGTCATTCAAGGGCCAACCATACTAAAAGCCAACTACCAAACAGGTTGCCTTGTTGTAAGGCAATTTGTCATTGCAGAAGGCAGAGCATAAACCAAAGGAGATGTTTCTGCTTAATACCGAAAGGGACTCTGAGCTGCCTAACGCACTAGCAAGAAACTTCCATATTTACTTAATATTGAGCAACCCTCTTCTACTTCCACCACTGCCTTAGCTTTCAACTATTTGTGTTTGACACAATATTCACATTTAACTCTAGGTCTATTGAGCATAAGTACTCTGTATTCAAGTCTTCATGCTCTCTACAGCTATTTACATTCTATCTCACAGGGTCTGGATGCTCCATAAGTATTTGATAACAAAAGTATAAACTGAAACTGATGTTCAAGTATAGATCAAATAAATGTGATACAGCCAGTAGAAACACTACTCCTGTTAGTCTCATTCTTTCTTGGAACCCTAAGTAGGAATTACATTGATTTAATTATGTTCATTTCTACATTGCTACAGTATAGACGTTAATTTATCTCTTTGCTTGATTTCTTCCCTCCATGTTAACTACAGAGAAGGTTTTATTTAAGCAGGTTATGAAAAGGAAGGACTGTTATTTCAAAATACTTCACCACAGACAAGCAGTCATTTTAGATAAAATCAATTAAGCGCAGTTATCCAAACATGTATTTAATTCTTGGCAATAAAAAAGCCCTACCCAATGCCCGATGACCTAGAAACCAGAACTAGGAGATTTCTTCATGCAAATTAAATTTGTGTCACACTCATCAGTTAAAAAGATGGTAATGAAGGTCAAATGTGCAGTAGCAGTGTAAAATAAAGGATTCCTATCCATATTTGTAGGATGTGTCAATGTGGCTAATTAATTTTTGAGATGGTATTCTTTGAAAGAGTAAACTTTGTGAATTGATTATGAAATGAGAAATGCCTAAAGAAAGTTGAGAATGTAAAATAGGCACTCAGCTTGATTAACTTTACCAGCTTTAAAATAATCCATATAATAAGGTAAAAGACACTGGAATTTATTTTATGGTAGTGCTATAAACTCCAAGAACTAACTACATTACAGTAGAGTTTACATCTTGTTTCTCTTCAAGTCTGTTTTCCATTTTGTATCTTAAATGGTAAAGATTCAAATCTTTACTCATAGAATTAGGGTGCTTTTTCCTTTAAAAAGTAAACAAAATATAAATAAAGGGAAGGAAAATTATGCCATTTTACATTGATGGGAATTAAGTGCTGCAAAATAAAGTATGTTTCCTACTCTTCAGCTAATAACATATTAATACTCTGGACACTAATGAGAAAAAGCAGATGCAGACAACATACCCGTTTCCTCAGATTGCAGGTAAGAGTGAGATTTCTTGAGAATGAGTTTGCAAAAGCTGTATAAAAGTCCAGGACTTTGAGCAAGGCTTCCCGCTTGATGATGTGTAGGTCACAGTATGTCAGGGCCCGGACATTTGCACATGCATGGGCAAGGGTGGTTTCCTTCCAGAAGATGTCTCCAAATACATCACCCTTCCCTGGAAAACAGTGTAAGATCCATATTCAAGCATCTACCACTGTTCTTACTGTAATCACTATTGCTGTCAGTTTCATATACAGTATCGACCTTTTAGCATAATTTAGAGCTGAGGGTATAACCACATCTATATACACATAACAATGTACAATGGTTTCATATAATATGTAAAGTAACATCACCCCAAATTTTGTTATTGATGAAAATCTGTAGTGGCATGAATAAATAGATCCAACACAGAAGACAAACACCTCGTTTTAAAAAATAATTTCATTAACTTCTGCCACCTTCTTTTCCTGTTTTGACTAGAAGTAGCAAAGGTGACTTTTTAATTTCATCCTTGCCTGTACTCCTTCTGGTAAAGATAATAACATGCAATATAGAAGGATCTGCTGTAACAGTCTTTATAAATATAGGGCTGATCCAACATATATTAAATACAGATTATCCAATAGCTAGTTACTGTGCTCCAAACAAATTAAAACTTGCCAGGACTTAGTTGCCCAAGAATACCCTTCCTTCTATACCTAGCCAACCTTATACAGGTCCTAAGAGTCCAGCTTAAGAGCTCCCACCCACAATTACAAAGCTAATGGACCCAGGTTGTCTAAAACATGAAGACTCAAATGTGTTAACCCTTGAACAGTTCTATAAAAAGTGCTATACTATCATCAAATGTAGATGTCTTTTAAAAAGACATCTAGAAATTGCACAGGAATCACCTATTCACTTCAGAGCACTACCCACTGGTGGCCTGAACTCAACCATTTATCATCTGAACTCAAGTACTTAGTTGCCCAATAAAAATGAGAAAGAGTCTAAGGTTAAAGTCCCAAAAGGCCTTTCTGCTGAGGCAGTTCCATAAAAGCCCCCGGTTTCTGAAGTGTAGTCAACCGCATTCTTTGTTCAACTTCTGTGTAAAAGGAAAAGTTTTAAAGTGAAAAAGACAGGGGGAATATATTCAGGAGGGAAACATCTTCCTACAGGCACTCTGTTAATGATTTATTCTTTCTGCACTCAAACCACAGAGGTGAGCAACTATCTACTGCCATCATGCAGATGAAAATCAGGACCAACAGGAAAAAAAAAAAGAAGAAGAAAGACCTTGTACAACCCTTCAGGTCAGCCAGACAACCAGAGAGAAAAGAAAATGTGTAACCACAGAAATGAGATGGAGCCAAAGACAGTGACAAGACAGAGACAGACAGGTTGAGTGAGTGAGATTACAGATTCTTTGCTCACCTAGGTAGTTGGGAAGCCCTGAGAGAAACATGGGGCTTGATGTCAAGCTTAAGAGGCACTTCAGGTTACAAAGAGAAAATGTGCACATGACTGACAGGTGATTAAAACCACCACATGATCATGTGGCTAGCATAAAATAGCTATAATATATATTTAATTACTCTTAAACAATTCATTTGTTTCTGGACTTTCCAAAAATTTCTTTTAGTTTGTGACATGGACGAGCAAATCAACTGTCTAATAGCCATTTATTTGCCCAAGGAAGAGAGATTAGAGACCTGGTAGCCAGAGTGTCTCTAGGGTAATACAGTATCACAATAACCAAAGGGAGACTTTAGCTCTAGAAACTCTACCACCTTTTATAGAGATGAATTTCAGATGTCTATACATGATATTTTCCTCAAACTAGCAATCCCAATTATAGGCATTTATTCTAATTGCATAACAAGAAGTGCCATATTTATTTATAAAAATCTCACTGAAGTGAAATTTATAATCGACAAAAATTGGAAATAAATGTCAACAAATAAATTATAAAATATTATGCAGGCATAAGGTATCAAATTTTACAAAGTGACATGGAGACTATATACAGGTATATAAAATAGTAAAAGCCGGATATAAACCATACATACAGTATAATCTCATTTTATGTACACCATCTCTCTACCCCCAAGCATGCATACATATACACACGCAAACCATAGAAGTAAAAGCATCAAAATGCTAGATCCTCTCTGCATTATGGAACAATGTATGGTTTTTATTTTGTCTTATAATTTCTGTGTAATACTTTGTAAATAGAAGAGATCAACAACTACTATATTACCACAGTTCCTGATGGTACCAAAAAAAAAGCTAAACTTTTAAAGGGTCGCTTTTATCTTATTTCTTTTTACTTTTACTTCTTTTTACTTTTATTCTTACTCTTTCTATTCTGGATTTTTCCTTCAAGAGATTAAAAAAATGGTTACATCTCTCTATGATTCATTTCTGTAACATTTTCTCAAATTGTCAGTTATAACCCCTTACCCATTTATGAATGCTCATTACTTTTCAGCTATTTGGTTTTCATATACGGCACACTTAATAATAATCAATGCTTTTGACTCAGCATTTTCACTTCTGGGAATCAAAAGATTATAACTACCACATGTAATATTCATTATAGTGTTATTAATGATAACCCCAGATTTTAAAAAACCTATATGCCCAATAAGTATGGCAATTGTAAAACTATGCATAAAACATCAGTTCCCAAAGAATTAAAACAACTTTTGAGATAATATGCAAAAAATTCTTAATTTATAATGTTAAATAAGAAAAATTATATAAAGAATAATAACATGAATGTGGTTACAGCCAAAACAAAATATATAAAAATGAAACTGAGGTGCCAAGACTAAAAGAATAATCAATTAAGAAATCTACTTTATCTTTTTTTCTTAAGAAAATTCTCTTGATAGAACCAAAGTATAATGAATTTTATAATTACATGTTATTATATATAGTTTATTAGTCTGTTCTCACACTGCTAATAAAGACATACCTGAGACTAGGTAATTTATAAAGAAAAGAGGTTTAATTGACTCACAGTTCTACATGGCTGGGGAGGCCTCACAATCATGGCTGAAGGCAAATGAGGAGCAAAGTCATGTCGTCTTACATGGTGGCAGGCAAGACAGCCTGTGCAGGCAAACTGCCATTTATAAAACTATCAGATCTCATGAGACTTATTCACTACCATGAGAACAGTATGAGGGAATCTGCCCCCACGATTCAATAATCTCCACCTGACTCTGTCCTTGACATGTAGGGATTATTACAATTCAAGGTGAGATTTGGATGGAGACACAGCCAAACCATACCATATAGTATATAATATGTTATATTAATTTATCAATTGATATAAATTGAGCTAAAAGTCTGAAGGGATACAAAACTAAAAGAAAATGCATTTAAATAATAATAGCAACAGGATTTAAGTGGTGTGGTCATGGCTTTTCTTCTTCCTACTTCATGATTTCTAAATTTTTCTATGTTAAAAAATAGCAAACCATTTTCACAGATGTCTTTCTTTACACTTCTTAATAAAGCTGAATTCATAAGACATATACATAGATTTTTAGATTGTAAACAAATATTCATTGATTATTAAGTGCATTGTCAATAGGTAAAAGATATTAAAAATATAAAGGTAGTTTCTTGTTACCAATGTAGGCCATTTTTAATTACAGAGGATTCAAATATCTGTTATATATTTTATTTAACTTAACTGATGAAATTAAACACTCTTACAGAATTTCTACCTAAAATTTTAAAATTTAAATTATTACATTATTTAAATTACTATATTTTTGGTCTCATGGGGAAATAAAAAGTCTATGATATAGTACGAATAGCATATAAACTAGAATATGAACTTATGATAAAATTAATTTATTGCTCCTCTCCCAAAAAGTTTAGAAAAACATAGCACAGTTAACAAAAGTATATAATTCTGCTCCCAACATAAGAATTCACTTTACATAATAAGCAACACTAACTGTTTCATTATGTAGAATTTTCATTAGGATGTGCAATAGGTTAACTGGATATTAATCTAAACAACCATTTCAAAGTGTGTTTACTTTTTTGGCTTTCTATGTCACCTATTAGGCAATCAATTCACAACAAACTTTTACCACATTTCTGGGACTATGGTCATCTTTTTTAAAAAATTAATAAATGTACCAGCCAAAGTAAAGTTGGTTAATGTCCTTCTTCAAGCATATTATGCACATTTATAGTAAGTGATCTCAGAAATCATAGGCTGTGAAAATGTGGGATTATTCATGGAATATCTAACATGCATGCATCTAATATGCATGGGATAGCTAATGAAGAAACAATAAATCTTTTCTTTATTGCACAAAAGATTTTGTACACTGTCAGGGCTCGGAACTCCTGTTCATTTTCTTGACTACAGAACATTTGATGATGGTTTTCAGGTCAGCTCCTGCTCGGTACAAGCAGTCTCTGCTATAAACATTTTAGAGCTAGAGATAACTAACCTCCCCTCAAAGTGCTAAAATTAGTGGAAAAGCTTGTGCTAAACATGAAAGTTGTTGTTTGGTCTATTTATATTTTCTCAGTTCTTTGCATCAAGTCTTATGAAGTATTTCATTGCTAACCTACAGGAAAAAGGATTGTAAAATAGAAATTAATGTTAAAGACTCATATAATAGGAAACTGGAAAATTTAAGACAAAACAGACAGTTACAACATAATTAAAGGCGTAATACAGACTGTAGTATGCTTGGGGATTATGGTCCTCTAAGGCGCTGATTTTAAGCCAGATTTATTTTTTCAAATGTGAGACACATTATTTGGTGAGTTAATGACACAAATAAAATAAATGCATAAAAATTACTACAGTTGGGCAGGCTCACGCCTGTAATCCCAACACCTTGGGAGGCTGAGGCAGGTAGATCACGAGGTCAGGAGTTTGAGACCAGCCTGGCCAAGGTGGTAAAACCCCATCTCTACTAAAAATACAAAAATTAGGCAGGTATGGTGGTGGGCACCTGTAATCCCAGCTACTTGGGAGGCTGAGGCCAGAGAATCACTTGAACCCAGGAAGTAGAGGTTGCAGTGATCACACCACTGCACTCCAGTCTGGGTCATACAGCAAGCCTCCACCTCAAAAAATAAATAAATACATACATAAAAATAACCACAGTTATTCATCAGTGAGAACTGCTAACTAATATAGCCAAC